ACTAAATCGAACGAGGAACATAATTTCTAGTGCGATTTGTACTATAGTCACCAGTGTATTTTTTTTTTTGATAGAGTACACATAACATAACTTACGCCTTTTATCCCCGAAGGGGTAGGTAGAGGTGCACATTCCCCAGTACAATGTAACACCCACTTTTCACTATTTATGTTATAAGTCCTATGTAATAGGGGGTGAACCTATTGCCATATACCGGGCAGATTTCCAGACTCCGTGCTACTACTGAGGTTTTTACAAACCCAGTAATAGGTACTTTGCCCGACCCAGGAATCGAACCCGAGACCCCTTGCCCGGCAGTCGCACTTGCGCTTGCGACCACTCGGTCAATAAGGCAGTTGATAGAGTACCTAATTGTAAATCTGCCCATTCGGGAATTAACAAATAATATGTTACGTTCTTAAGACTCTGAACTTCATTCGTTTCTTCTGTTTGGCGCCACTATTGATATTGACGTACTAGAACTACTGTGGTCTATATGAGACAATGGATCACGGTGAATGAATTCTATGTTACAGACTTAATCATAGCAGAATGATAGCTATAGGTATATCAGTGTTACATAGAAGCTAACAATATCTATTCTATATTATATATATAAAAGAAAGTCGTGTTAGTTACACTATTTATAACTCAAGAACGATTAAATCGATTTAGATGAAAATTGGCGGGGTGGTAGCTTAGAACCAGTAGACGGACATAGGATACTTTTTAAACAATACTTTTTTTTACTTTTTACCGAAAATCACGAACGGGAACGGGGGGAAATGGGATTATATTGCGCGTACGAAGTCGCGGGCAGAAGTTAGTTCATAATAAAATGAAAAACGTTAATTTGCAATCACGAGTTACTCAAAAGCCAGTCACGAGCTTGAAGTATGCATAAATATTACTTTTTTTTTAATAAAAAAATGAATAGAAGCAAATTCTCATGGTCATCTAGCGATGACGTGGGGATTATTATACCTGTATTATTGTAATGAGAAGCGCTAGTGTAGTTCAAAATACCGTTTCAATTAGCATCGATATTTTGGGAGACAATTGGTGCAAATGAGTCCTGGTTTAGGACCAAACTTTATCACGTATATCACGCCACACGACGTTCACAGCTGAACGTAGACCAGCTCCAATGGCTTCCAGTAGTCGATAGATGAATAAGCTGCGATCGCCTTTGTCTCACACCAAATTTTGCACGTGTAGCTGCCCTTTATGTTTACGTCCCTCTTAAAACTAAATTCAGGCCCTATCCTTGCCGTTTCTAACAACACGTGTTTGGAGACCACCTGAAAAATAATCCCTATAAAAAGATAGTTACCGTGCAGCCGGATACAGTATTTTATTACTTAATCAATAACCCATCTAGTGCCTATCTATTGATTACCAAAACCTGATGTTTTATCAATGGAAAAAACTGTGTCGAAAATCATAATAGGCTTTATTTATCTATAAACAGATAAGATATTGCGTAATCTGATAAAAATATAGTACATACTCGTGTATGCACTCGTGTGTTTCATAAAATCGAAAGAGGTGAAATCTGCCAACGTCGCAATAATAAAGATTAGGACAGTATTTTCTTCAAATTAATTTCATTTCAATCATCAATGCTATTCGACTTCGCAGGATATTTTATTATGTCCACCTTTGCTCTCTATCTCTCTCTTACCGAATAGGATTTTTTTTTAAGGGGGAAAATCATCGAATGACTGCTCCCGCCTGGGTGAGGCGGAAGGGAGTGTCAGACTCTTACTGACAAAAAACCACCCCGTTCCTTCTCATGCACGTCGAGCCGGAGCCCCGGTTACCCGTTAGGTTCTCCGCGACTACCGAATGGGATAGCAAGTCCACAAAAAGTCTAATAATTCAGAAATGATAAGTAGTAGGTAATTGAACCAAAAACCTAAATTGATTTAAACGTGATACTGATAAGTTTCAGCCTGGTTAATCAATAACATATCTTCATTTTACTGGATAAATCTCAATGTAAACTGTTAATATAAAATGTCAAAAATGCTTTAAAATTAAGTTAAATATTATGTATATACCTAACACTAAAATATAACAACAAGTGCGCCCGTACCTAAATAGTCCTTGGCCCTTTGCCCTATTATAACATTGACCCATAATAGCCCCTCAGCGCGATGACTGCGTCAATTTAGCTCGGTCTCTACTCCTGACTATAATGAATCATTCTTACAATTGCATTAGATATATATAGCTAGACTTAGTATGTATCAGAATGATGACCATAAAGATTTCTGTTCAGGGATGCAAATGTCCCAACACATCAGCGACATGTCGAGCGAAGTCGGCCGATGTCGCCTGACATACACGGCGCCAACGCACAACTTATGTCCACACAGTGACGTTGATATTGCCAGACATGTCGACCGAAGTCCGGCAACATCGCGCTTCGTCACCCAACGTCGCTGGCGACACGTGTCTCAGAACGTATGTCCCTTTATGTATCCTTAGCGTTATATTATTATATTGAATTATAATGTTTTAATTGAAGTTTCACTCGTCTGCAATTCAATTTCCTTACCATCTTCATGAGTTCGTGAGTTTCTGTAATTAGTTAGGTAGTACGTAACCTTTTCTTCTGAGGTTACATCCGCGTGTTTTCAAATGTCGCAGCATAATGCTACTAGCTATAGCTCTGTTTATATAATAACTATCTTGAGACATACATACTAAATTAACTAAAAATCGCGGGTTACTCGCGTCATCAGCTCTACTAGTTTCGAGTCATAGATGGGCTCTTTCTCATATGACTCATATTATAGAGATTTTAAAATCATTAACTTTTTAAAAGGAACATAGTAATCTATAGCGTAGTCCTTTCATTTATCACTAGCCCTTTACCGTCCATTATCAAGAATAGGCCTCTGTGACAATATGCCAATATGCTCCATCTTCGAGTCTTCATAATCCGTCACTTCATATTTTCTAGAGGGATAGATTAATATGATATAGACCTCCTTTATATAGAATGGCAAAATTAGTTGAAATTATGTTCCACAGGTTTCTCATATTTTCCTTAATCAAATCAATTTTAAAATTCACTACCTTTACTGTATTTGTTATACCTATTACATATCATATAGTCATGTCTATGTATTATCTACTTGAGATTATCTCAACGTTCGCGGAAAATGACTGACAACTAAGGACCTCCTAAGTACTAGATATCTAGTTCCTTTGTTATGATAGAATACAGGAAAAATTATACTTATAAAGCATCCGTTTGTGTAGTAAAAAGTCATTTAGTTGTACATCATGGTAATTTAATTAATTGTCTTGTTGGAGTCAGTTGGAGTCATTGGTTAATGGCCCATTATAGTCTCACCCACATTACATGAGCCTCTGTTATAATAGGTAAGTGGTGAATAGCATCATTATCATCATTATCATCATCCTAGCGTTATCCCGTTTGCTTCCTTTCGGAATCCGGTTAAGTGGTAAATTGGGGAATGGTTAACGTGTCCAGACATCCCGTTTTAATCGGGATTGTCCCTTTTTATAATTACGAGTCCTGTTGTCCCCGAAATGAACTCTCGGACGCAAAATTGTTTAGTTTTCGGAAACAACGCGAAAATTTCGAATTTTGATTTGATGAGTGAGAAAGATCGAGTGGTGTGCGAAAGCAATACAGCATGACATTACTCGCTAATTTGTGAAGAAATACAATCGAAAAAAAAAAGTAAAAGGGTAAAAATCAACAAATGAAAATCAAGTTGTATACCTCTATAAATAGAAAAAACAAATTTTGTTAGCACGAGACTCCAAAATGTCACGTGGCTATGTCTATGCTAATAAAAACTTAAGAATTTGTCTTACGATCTTTGTTTTATTTATCTACTCAATAATTGTGACCCTGCATTCATTGTCTAAAAACGAACAATGGAATATTAAATTTGATTAATACGTGTTAAAAGAAGATTAAGTTAGAAGAGTAGGTACCTATATCATACCTTTAAATTCATTAAAAGAATGACAAAGGTATAACATAACATAACATCACGCCTTTTATCCCCGAAGGGGTAGGCAGAGGTGCAAATTATGCCACTGTACAATGTAACACCGACTTTTCACTATTTATGTTACGAGTCCCATGTAATAGGGGTGAGCCTATTGCCATATACCGAGCACAATCCAGACTCCATGCTACTACTGAGATTTTTTTTAAACCCAGTATTACTTTGCCCGACCCGGGAATCGAACCCGAGACCCCATCCCCGGCAGTCGCACTTGCAACCACTCGGCCAACGAGGCAGTCAAGTCTACAAACGTAACTATTTATTATAATTATAGCATACGACCATATAGCATGGATCGTATATGAGAAAGGTTGATTAACCTTTCTCAAAACATTTCACTGATGAAAACTGCATCATAATCCGTTCAGTAATTTTTGAGTTTATTACGATTAGACATGCAGACAGTGGTGGCTGAGAGTATAACATAACTGGTGAAAATAGGTGTAACATTGTAGAGTTTATCAGTTTATATCACTTACCACTAAGCCCAAATAACCACCAATTTCCACAACTCCGAATCCCCAACAATCGTCAAATTCCTAATCCCCAAAAGGTCGGTGACGCACTTGTAACGCCTCTGGTGTTTATATGTGTACCGATTATTTACCATCAGGTGATCCGTCTGTTACTTATGGGATAAAAACTCTTCGGAAATTAAATGCCGTAAAGTTATGTAAGGAATAATACTAAAATCTGTCTATAGTTACTACAGACATAATATACATTGAGAAAATGAATGACCGAAAAGCTATGACGTCATACTCTCGTCACTATCGCCGTTTGAGAGCAGAAACCAGACAAAAGCGGTATCGGGCAGTCGATTTAGGTTCGGAAGAAATATTTTGGGCGTAAATGTTTAATAAACAACTTCAGGTCAAAGTAAATGTACTAATAACTTATAAATATATTTTATAATTTTCAGGTGGACGATAATACAGCAATATGGATAAAAACGTGTCAGAAGAAGTGCAAAAGAAAATCAACCAATTGCGGAATTGGGTAGACAGCCAGCCTCACTTGCCAAAGGATATAGGTGAGCATAAATATCAATACTTTTTTTCCTTAGGCTCTATGGCCTTCGATTTTTCTTAAATTTCGAGCGAATTGTTTTATCTGTAGCGCTTATTGGACTGTAAATATAGGGTGAAAAAAGGATAAAGCTATTAAGCGACTGTGAATTGTCGAATGAGTTTTAAGACCGCCTTACACAAGGTCTCATGTTCGTTTCTCATGTTGAATTTAAATTTCTCTGAATCAGAATCTCTGAATCTATCGTGTTTGCAAATAGATATATGTCCGGTTCCGTAATTGTCGACATAGCCAACAAGCTAAAGAAAATCGAGCTAAAGAGCTAAATCCTACATCGATATGAAACTAAATAGTAAATACCAACATTAAGATTTAAGACGTTGTACTTACCCGGATATAAACAAGTATAAAATACTAAATTGTAAATACACTACGTTATGTTTCTCCTTTTTATATAGGAAACATCATTTTATACCATTTTTGTTATTTCTAATTACCGATTCATGAGAACACATAAATTTAAATCTTAAGAAGACGTCATAAAGTCGTTTTGAAAGCTACCTAATTTAAAACCGGTTATCTATCGGACCTCCTAACTTGGTCATGACGATGTCGATGACCCTACCGACCCTACCGAATGGGTTATCAAACCTTTACCAAAAGAAAAGTGTATAACTAGCACATTTAAATACCCTAAAACGTCAAATTCTCTCATAACATTTTCGACGTTCATTCTTAGTAATAAAGATGAATCTACTTTGACGAGTATAGTGTAGTTTGTAGTGCTGGTGTTTGTATAAAGTATCAGAAAAATTGGTAAGTCCTTAGTATTGATTCGTCCGACTCTTACAAAGAATAATTGCCACCCGATAGGCCATTCAACGGGCGATGTTTCGCATACAATGAATGGGAAGCTGTTGTGACTTGCCTGTATAACTGGCACACCAACTCGTCCACAATTGCCATTAAGTTGCATTGGAATTCAAACTTCATTCCAATTGATTTAAAGTACATATTCAGTCTGTATAGTAACTGGTACTCCTAGCACATCGATTCGTCTAAGTTGTACTGAAATTTCAACTCATTTCCAATATGTATAAAGTACAAAATCTAGTTTGATGATGACTCTTTCGATTCTGAAGTGTGCGTTCTATAGAGATACATCTGTTTCTTTACTTATATGAATGTTTTGATCTTTCAAGAGTATTTACTTCAATGACTATCATTTAAACACTTGTAAATTAAATAAAAAAGGCACTTTACTATAATAACGTGTCCATTGTCATCACAAATAGAATTAGATGACTTGCTAACGTCAAGACAAGATGTTAAATTAGATATAAAACGATAAGGTTCCACTTCTACCATTTAAATCCACATTTGTGACGCCAAAGTTAAAAATTTCCGCCTAAACATAGCCTAGGCGTCATAAACACCATTATTAATATAATTTCCTGTGTTAAACTGTGTGGGTAGAAAAATCAAGTATGTTGAAAAAATACACGGATTTAGCAGCTTCTTGACTGTATTATAACATTATTATGAAGGCAAAAGATTTCATTATCAGTTTGTCTGAATAGATTTTATAAGTAGACCATTTTTTTTGTATCGCGTTGGAGAGGTAACGTTTTAGGGAGTCACATAGTTTTTATCCCGATATTCCATTGGTCAGCAGTGGCGTCGTATATTCCAATTGGTCGTCCACCACAAGGGGATGAACGATTTGATAAAGGCTGCAGAGAACAGTTGGATGCAGGTCGCTTCTCGTCGGCTGATTTGGAAATCATTAGTAGAGGTCTACATTCACCAGTGGATCTTGTAACCGATACCGATGATGATGATGGTTCTTATAGGATCGGCATAAGACGGAAAAATTCTACGCGGCCGAAACCGTACGCGAAAAGCTAGCTAGTCTACTAGACAGACTTGACTGAAATGTAACATGTTTTGTCTGTCTAGTTCATTGTTAACAGAAACGATTTAATCCTTACTATTATAAATGGGAAAGTGAGTTTGTTTGTTTGTTCCGGTTTCATGCCGTGACTTCTAAACCGATTGCTTTGAATTTTTGCAGACGTAAAATTAGAAATCCGGATTAGATAAAAGGGTACTTTTTATCCCTGAAAAATTTGATATTCCCGAGGGAAAACAAAAGAATTGGTATAGATAGCGCTGTGTGTATTGGTATAGGCTACTTTTATCCTTTTGTGACGCGAGCGAAGCCGCGGGTAAAAGCTAGTATTTAAATAAATGATGGAAACATTATACAAATACCGGTTTGAGAACGCCACGTATCGGGGAAATTCCACGATTTTAAAGGCTTCGTGATTGTTTCCAGTTGGTAGACAATTGTTTTGCATTCCAAGTTATGAGGAAACGTCTGAAGGCGATGTTTTGTGATCACTGAAGCTTACATTTTGTACCGTGGGATTGTGAAACTCAAGGTACAACCAAACTTCATTTTAAAAGCCAAGTTGAGGTACTGAGAAGTTGTGATAATATTTTCAGATATCCACAAATAACTGTATACAGTCCAGTGGTTCATAATATCAAACCACTTTATAGATGACAAGGTTAAACCGGAATCCGTGAGATTTAATAACAAAAATAACCTATATCGTTAAAAACCAAAATTCCATCTCTGATCTAAGAATCACAGATGGTTTGAATATTTAACGAATTGCATAATTCGCATTGATATTCATTCATACCTCTATAAAATCATTAAGTAGGTAACCTTGCTTCTTTTATAATGAGACATTGGCTCCGTTTCTTGAACTAGGATTCTAGATTTATTGAGTTGTTTTAATATCGTCTACTTCTATTGATAGTGCATTAATTATCTACAAGAGAAAAGATGAACTCTGGTTTTAAAGACCTTTATGTAGGTTATGTTTTATGTCTACTATAGAAAGTGTAGGATTGCCTCGTTGGCCGAGTGGTCGCAAGTGCGGCTGCCGGGCAAGGGGTCTCGGGTTCGATTCCCGAGTCGGGCAAAGTATTACTGGGTTTTTATAAAATTCTCAGTAGTAGCACGAACTCTGGAATTGTGCCCGGTATATGGCAATAGGCTCACCCCCTATTACATGGGGCTCATAACGTAAATAGTGAAAAGTGGGTGTTACATTGTACAGTGGCATAATGTGCACCTCTGCCTACCTTATGTTATGTATGTAGAAAGTGTAGGAAGGTTAGTCCAAAAGAAGCAGCAAAAAGAGCCTATAAGAGGTCCGGCAGTAGACAAATCTAATCTATTTGAGATTAAGTTTGTATTTTCTCATCATCATCGGGCTATTGAGCTCAATCAAACTAAAACTGGCTATTGATGTCTGATTACTGATGGCCTCACGTGTTCTCTAAATACAGGGAATCACTAATCAAATATTTAATAGTGTTGCCAGCGTACATAGGCCACGGTAACCGCTTACCATCAGGTGGGCCGTATGCTTTTTTGCCACCGTCGTGGTATAAAAAAAAACTAATCATGCTGCATACACGTTTTATATTACTCCAATTTTTTTTTCAAAATCAGTTGCAAATGTGTAAATGACACCTTGTAACAATCGAATTCGAGGCAAAGACTCTTAGAATTCTGAATACAGTTTAAGTCTGAATAGCTATTAGACACGTGCATGTGTGTCAGTCAGCTTGGAGTTGTCATGCTCACTCACAAGTCTCATTGGCAGTGGCACGGGCAGTGGATCGCTCGATTCCCTACAACATGGTTGAGTTGGGCTGGTGCTGGTGTATGTGTCATGTTGGTGAACGGGCGCTGTCAAATGGGACTGGTCAGCTCCAGACTGTATTAAATTTGTTGTCCTCAGGGTTATTTTCTTTTTCCGTCTCCTTGACCAAATATTGGTATGACATTGTTCTCACATAATTGAATTCAACGAAAGAATGTAACCAAAAATTGTATTGTGAACATGATTGAAAAAGAGTAACCTATGGAGTTTCTTGCTCGTTCTTCTCCATAGGAATCTACACTTTGGAACGAGCAAATAGCTTCACTAGAGGACTGACCTACAGACTGACATTTTTTCTTATTATTTATGTAATATTTAAATATTTTGTTTTGACGTTCAAAACTGCCTTCCTGGTCTAATTGAAATAAATGATTTTGACTTTGACGTCTGATTTGATTTATTTATAACCAATCACTATCGTGTTTCAGACAACCGTCTCATCCTGCGATTCCTGCACAGCTGCTACTATGATGTGGAGAAGACGAAGCAGACCATCGAGTTGTTCTTCAAGGTCAGAGACAGTGCTCCAGAGCTAGTCAATCACAGGGATCCATTGTCACCAGCTATGCAGAAGGCTATGAAAATTGCGTAAGTGTCCATAAATTGATGCGAGTTTACGGCTTAGTAAAGAGTAGGGGTAAATAATACTATACAATTATATCCAAACTAGCTTTTACCCGCGGCTTCGCTCGCGTCACAAAAGGATAAAAGTAGCCTATACCAATACACACAGCACCATCTATACCAATTCTTTTGTTTTCCCTCGGGAATACCAAAATTTTCCGGGATTAAAAGTACCCTATTATTTAATCCGGTCTTCTACGTTTTCGAATTTTACGTTTGCAAAAATTCAAAGCAATCGGTTTAGAAGTTACGGTGGGAAAGCGGAACAAACGAACAAACAAACAAACTCACTTTCCCATTTATAATAGTAAGGATACATTCAGAGTCGTATCTTGATATGGACATTCATAAACTGCAACTGCCGACTACAAGGTTTCGAATTTCGAATCTTTAAGATTTTTAATTTGGAATTCAAATAAAATGAGCTGAGTCATGTTTTTTTAGAAATATTTTTAGACGTTGGAGAATTTAATCCAAGAAGTTAAAGTTACCCTAATTTTAATTTGAACATATTTTCAACCTTGCTCTCTAAACTGACGCGACAGCCCGTCCTATTATGAACTTAGCTATAATTATAAACCTGCGTCATAGCAATTAATAACCAGTTATTCAATAAATATAGATCACTAATATAATACAAAGACAACAATATGGTAGGTAACATACAATTCTTCATTGAACGCCTTAATTGTTCAGATAGGTGTAATTATAATACTGCAGTAATAGAGGAGGTTGGGAGTCGCGACCCCAGTTCTACATGTATAGTTAATGGTTGACTTAATGCTAGATATAATAATATAACAGAGCAAGTTTTATATTTTCCTTAGTAACTGTGGGACATTATGAAGACACAATACTAGGAAGGCGTTAATTACATTTAATAGGAATTTAAGGTCTTATCAACAAACAAGACTCAGTATTGAATTTTATATAGATAACAGTCATTATAACTTCAATCTTCATCAATGCAAAAGAAATATTTACTTTCATGAATCGTAATTTTCATAGCAGTAATAGGCGTGAAACAACGTTTACCTACGCTGTGTTTTGTCATGTGAGTGAGGTTAACGGATTAGGCCTAATTCTCTCCTTCCCTCCAGATCCCCCCAATCTATCAATCGCCAGTCTTCAAATCCTAAAAGGCTGGAAACGCATTTAATGCACCTTTGGTGTTATGGGTTTTTTTAAGGGGGGATAATCATCGAATGACTGCTCCCGCCTGGGGGAGGCGGGAGGGAGTGTCAGACTCTTACTGACTAAAAACCACCCCGTTCCTTCTCCTGCACGTCAAGCCGGAGCCCCGGTTACCCGTTAGGTTCTTCTATTCTAACCTATTCTCTTATGGGTATCCATAGGCAGTTGCTTGCATCCCATAAGAATAGACACATATTTTCATATTATCTACATTCATAGAATTTATATGCATATAGATGCTGGAAGTATCATAGAAGATTTGCTGAACACTTACGTGTCCACATCTATCTAAATATATATGACTCAAAGGTGACTGACTGACTGACTAACACAGTGATCTATCACAACACGACCCAAACCACTGGACGGATCGGTCTGAAATTTGGCATGCAGGGAGATGTTATGACCTAGGCATCCGCTAAGAAAGGATTTTAATCATTTCCTCGCCCAAGGGGGTAAACTAGGGAATGAAAGTTTGTATAAAACATTTATACATGAGTGCTCAGCAAGTTTATTTACCTAAATCTAAATCTTTGTAAGCGATTTATAGAAATTCCAGAAATTCTTATACGTTGATCCTTCTGATTTCATGGCTCATAAAGTAATTGGAAAAGAGACCAAAATAGCTCAACAGCATTTCATTCTCTAGGCCATGAATTATGAGTTGGATTTCTTTGTTTATGTTCTTAGGTAATGTAGATTTAGATAGATTTATTTGTTTGTTTTGTTTGGAAATATCTTGCGTTGTTGACGTGTATTTATACATTTGTGAGTAGTTTTTTTGTTCCTAGTGCCAACTGCCAATAAATCCTATCGTTTCACCTTGTCCTAATAGGGTAGATGACTAATTTTTATTTTAATGTCCGTCTGGTAGATTATTTTAAATCATTAGACACGTATTCTTTTATATTCTTACAGAAACGAATACTTTCGGCGATATATTGATTTGAAATGTCGCGTGACGTCACTTCTATGTACATTTAGAAATAACGTTTTAGCCCCCACTCCTAAACTTTGATTAGTTTTATCTAAGTATTGTTTTATTATACGACAATATAAAAAAATACGTGTCTAATATTTTTTCATTACCTAACTTACAGACTAATTATATTTTTAATTTTCATACCCTGTCATCATCCCAATTTGTTTCTCCACATTTCCCAAGTCAGGATAATCCTCGATTGTCGATCCAGATTTGACTGTATGTCAGTATCTTACCTTTTTTCTTATAACGCGATGGAAACGGGATGACGGTGTATCGGACTTGTACCGGCTAAAACCACCGTGATATTCCTCTTCTGCCTATGGCCGTAACCCGGGACTCCCTTGCAGAATCACCGCACCCGGCAGGCCTCGACCTACCGCTATATTGCGGCAGGTCCCACCACGTAGCAGCCCTCAGAGATTGCGATTTCCACCCTCGAGTGGCGCGCGTGGAACATTACGCTAATGCCTACTCCAGCTCAAACAATCTTATCTAGAGCGACTGTCAACTAACCCTCTACAAACCGCTAAGGGTGATAACTTACCATATTCATAGTTAGACCCTTAGTTAGATTTTGTTTAAATAAATATTATGATGGTACATGATGATGTGTGATTGACCTCAATTTATTATATTATAGCGACGTTTCAAGACGAAAATTAGATGCACAAATTATTTAAATAAGCAATTTACATCTTCTAGACAAAATTAACGAGTTTCGTGTCCATATAATAAAAATGTAGGTGCTAGGAAATAATTTAGCTACATACATAGCAAATCTGTCCTGTTGTAATAAGATTTTATTATATTTATTTTAAGTATTTATTATTTACTAGCTTCTGTCTGTTCCTAGGGATAAAAGTAGCCATAACCTATCCCTGTTACAAATTTCATCCCGATCCCTTCAGCCTGCGGGCAACTTAATATTCGACAAACTTATATTTGCGTTTGGTACAGTAACTGTATCTAGGGATCGAGCCGCACAATTAAGTTTGTTTTTTTGTGTATATACTTTTTCGGGATAAAAAGTACCCAGTTTTGTGTGCAGGATATTAAAGTATAATCATACCGAGTTTCATCGTAATCTAACCGGTAGTTTTTGTGTGATTCGTGAACATACAGACAGACAGACAATAATTTTTTTAAACACATTTTTGGGTAGGATATCTATCTAGTAATATACCCCTCAAAATTTTTTTTTAATGGACAAAATTAACACTTCTATAGTTTTATTCTATGTATCGATAAGTTTTTACTATCTAATTTATTGTGTGTTAGTCAAAACAGACAATTTAAATACCAATATTAACAATGCAGTAGGTACGTCATCGCCATTAAATTGCATTGTATACATATAAGAGATAGATGGTATTATAAGATAAAAAATATTAATTTATTTTACTACGACATTTTGCTTGTTATTTACGTCAACGTTTCTATCTTTTTTTAAATAATATTATTATGATTAGACCAGCTACGTAAGCATGTTATAACAGGAACATTACAGTCTCATAGGAAAGTAGCCAAACACAGTTGTTGCAACAATTTTTCACCAAAGAATATGTTGCCAAAATATGATGAATTTGTAGTGGCCAGTAGCTCAAGCTACTCCAATTTATCAATTATTTTCATTTAATTTTCGACTTTATAGCACAACAATAACGTTGAAAATCTATATAGAAAGGAGTAGGTTGACCTGATGGCTTTTTTTTTTTTTTTTTTTTTAAGGGGGGAAAATCATCGAATGACTGCCCCCGCCTGGGTGAGGCGGGAGGGAGTGTCAGACTCTTACTGACTAAAAACCACCCCGTTCCTTCTCCTGCACGTCGAGCCGGAGCCCCGGTTACCCGTTAGGTTCTCCGCGACTCCGAATCGGCATCGGCCCTATTGGGCCCCATCTGTGGTGGTCTGATGGCTCTTTGAGGCGCGCGCGGAACGCGACGCGCCGTACGCTCGGGTCTGTTTCTGGTCGGACGGGGAGCCACCCATGCTCGCCGTCCGCAGGCCCGCGTGACCTGATGGCTACCTACACTTTATTCTATTCAAACCAGTATAAACTGACCGTCGGATGTGAAGAAAGATTATACAAACCGAGATCACGATAAATTGGATTTGTATAGCTTGATGTATACGAGTTTCTCCGTGCCGATGACCTATGAATGAACACGTGAGTTGCCGTGAGATCATGGCGTAGACCCACGTATTTTGTTATTCAAAGCCGAGAGCAATAGCCGCGCCTATGTATAAGTGTAAATTTGTAATTTTGACAATGCAATACAAATCGAAGTGTTATTTTGTGCGAACTCTTACGTCTTTACAGACTTTGTTTGTGTTCCTTTACGCACTTCTAACTCTACATGTGTGCGAAACGAGACGATTGTTACGCACGCTACACACATTACGATTATGTTTAGTCCAAATTCTTTTTAGTCGATTCCCTCACTGCTGTGGATCCCCTTAAGTGTGGGAGAGCCATGCTTCGGGACGAATGGGCCGGCTTGACCGGAGTGATACCGCGGCCTCACAGAAAACACACGTGAAACAACGCTTGCGTTGTGTTTCGTCGTATGAGTGAGGTTACCGGAAACCCAATTACCCCCTCCCCCAGTCTCCCTAATCCCCGAATCCCCCACAATCCTCAAATTCCTAATACCCAAAAGGCCGGTAACGTACTGGTAACGCCTCTGGTGTTTCGGGTGTCCATGGGCGACGCCGATTGCTTACCATCAGGTGATCCGTGTGCCCGTTTACCGGCTTATCTCATTAAAAAAATCCCTCTCTGATTCTGCTCAGTGAATGTCGCCACTTAACTCGTTCCGTTACTTGGTGCATTGCAGCATTCATGGATATCTCCAGCTCCTTGCATATTTGTTCAGACCACTGTATGAGACTCCGGCCTCTCGGTCTCTTTCCTTCTCGTATATAGTCCGAATACCTAATACTGTTAAAAGTGCACAATTAGATTGTAAGATCTGTGCGTGCATAAAGTCAAAGTCAAAGTTTATTTCAATTTAATCAAAAAGAGGTTCATTTTAAACGTCAAACTAGAATAGTCTGTCAGTCTGCCCATCAGTAAAGACACGGTGTAAATGTAGGAAATGTGTGAAGGTGTAATAACAAACAATCAAAAAGATTTTCGCATTATAATATTAGTTGATATTATGACCTAAGTCACTGTTATTGCAAACCTAGATGGTAGAATAAAGGCTATTTATGGCCTTCATAATTTCAAGAGATCAAGTGTTAATACCTAGGTCGATATGAAGTATAGAGGACTTTTTTTTAAAGGGGGAACATCATCCAATTTCTGCTCCCGCCTGGGTGAGGCGGGAGGGAGTGTCAGACTCTTACTGATTAAAAACCACCCCGTTCCTTCTCCTGCACGTCGAGCCGGAGCCCCGGTTACCCGTTAGGTTTTCCGCGACAGGTATAGACGACTGCCTCGTTGGCAACAAGGGGTCTCGAGTTCGACACCTAGGTCGGTAGAATTTCTGGCTATTTAAAAAAAACTCGGTTGTAGCACGGAGTCTGGCATCGTGCCAGGTATATGGCAATAGACTCACCTGCTATTACATGGGACTCATAACATAAATAGTGAAGAGTGGGTGTTACATTGTACAGTGCCATTAAGTGCCGTAATGTGCACCTCTGCCTTGCCCCTTCGGTAGTAAAAGGCATGTTATGTATGAGGCATGAGGTTTCTCAATAAATGTTAAGACATTGTCTAAAACATGAAATTGAGCGTGGGGTGTTAAGCAAGAGACTTAAGTTCTATTACATGGTATAACATCGTCTGATTTTATGTTTTATGTAGACCCGTATACTAAGCATGAAGTAAATAACTCAAGTTGTCAATATAATACTTTAAAACACGGTGCTTTAAATGTTGCAAAATAATACAATAGTGTTATGAATCAAAATACTTGGAATATATCTATTACGTAACACTATGCGTATTCAGACGTTAAAATCATTATTGGAATACAGAACACATTGAGTAGGCCGTCATTAATCAATTTTTCGTCGATAAAAAAGGACGATTTCAATATATTATAACTTTTGTGAGACGTACTAAATTAATTATTATGTTTTTCGGTTTACTCACATAATCATTTTACAAGGAACTCGACTAGTTTCAAGCCATGCTCTTTTTTTAAGGGGGGAAAATCATCGAATTACTGATCCCCCCTGGGTGAGGCGGGACCACGCCGTTCCTACTCCTACACTTCGAGCCGGAGCGGAGCCCCGGCAACCCGTTATATTCTCCGCCATGCTAGATGCTCATATTCACGGTAACGCGTTGCGGGTCGCGGATAATTAATATTATTAATTTAATAATGCGATATGTAAACAAATCCAAATATTCCACAAGCTCAATTTCCCCCTCGTCGACTGAAGATGGAGATGGGAGATTACAATCCTCAAATGCCCAATGCTCAAATAAATAACCCTCAAAATTCCGACAACGCACTTGTTAACTCCTCTGGTGTTGTGAGTATCCATGGGTGGTGCCTATTGCTTACCATCATATTATGAACTGTCCCTTCTTTTGTTGCCCATTTTTTTGAGGGGCGAAAATCATTCAGTGACTTTTCCCGCACGGATGAGGCGGGAGGGAGTGTCAGACTCTTACTGACAAAAAACCACCCTGTTCCTACTCCTGCACATCGAGCCGGAGCCCCGGCAACCCGTTAAGTCCTCTGCGGCTCCGTATCGTCATCAGCCCTATATGCCTGTTATTTCTCGCCCTATACCATAAAGAACTGAATACGAAATTTCAAGGTCACTGATTCCGTTAACGAACTCTCATTTAAAAAGGGTGAGCACAGAAGCGTTCACACGAAACTACTTATTAAAATGTGGAACAAAAATTTTTAGGGCATGTTGAGCATAATGGCGGAATTATACGGTACTTTATTGTTGTTGTTCTGGCTTCGGTATGGAACAAATAGGACAGAATCCGTAAAACAGTAATTTGAACCTAATTTTAATGTACTAATTTTAACACATTGCGTCTCGTGTATATCTACATACATACATACCATGGGTTAAACCCGCCCTATAAGCATTTGTGATCACTTGACCTAATAAATAAGTATTTAAATATTCACAATCCTTACAAAAAGTAAAGAAAAATATTCCCTATATCTTTACAGGAAAGTGGCGCACTACGAAATATCAGGCAAAAGAAACATCTGGTTCTGGCAACTAAATGATCCAGGTCTAGAACAATACGACTACATCCAAGATGCTAGAATGTTCTTCATGACCTGTGATGCTTGGATACTCAGCAACGAGGATCTGGCTGAAGAAGATATTGTTGTTATGGATGCCAAGGACATTTCCCTTAAATTCATCTCGAAGTTTAATATTTCTGTTGCGCGAAAACTTGCGAAGTATCAAGAGGTAAGAGGCCTTTATAGATATACCTTTATAAAAAAAACAAAACGATTGGTAGTAGATTCTTGGTTATTTTTACTAGACCTATACACTGTTGACAATATACTGTAATTATATAGTGGAGATTACTTTAATATCATCATCATCATCGTCATCATCAACAGCCTATAATAAGTGGCCACTGCTGACCAAAGGCCTCTTTTCGCACGGAGAAGGTTTGAGCATTAATCACCACGCTTGCTCAATGCGGGTTTGGGATTTCAAACTTATAATTAGATTCCTCGCAATGTTTTCCTTCTCCGTTGGTCAGTGGTGTCTAGATAATCTAAGAAAGTACCTACATATAACTCGGAAAAAGTCCCATTGGTACTTGCTGTTGGTAGGTTTTGAAGCTGCGCCCTCATGCATGGGAAACGGGCTTCATAAACCTCCGGGCCACCACCACATTACATGCCTTTGATATCATACTTAAATATTACTTCAACTAGTGTTGATGCAAATGCATCTCAGGAATATTTATTTGATCACCTTAAAATGTGATAAATATTTATCTGTAACAAAAAAACCAAGCCAAGAATTCTGGTGCCAACAAACTTCATTGAAAACTTAAGAAGCCTTAGCTCATAGGTGTACCTACATACAATAATCCTGTTTTTGCTAGTTTTGAACAGAACATACATGACAAGGACCATTTTTTGTTTATTTCAGGATGCCATGCCGATCAGGTTGAAGCAGATCCACATCATCAACGCACCTCCTTTCATCGACAAGCTGTTCAGCATGATGAAGCCGTTCCTTAAACAAGAAGTCACAAATATGGTAAGTGTAAGCTTCCATTATGTCTGAAATAAATAAAATACATTACTAAAATACTTTATTTTGAATGCCTTTTAATAAAATTGATGTTGGATCCCAAGATTAACATCCTTTAGATTCGAAACTCAGTTTGGATAAGCATTGCTCTATTGATTTAAAAAAAATCTCAGTAATAATATAGAATCTGAGTTTCTTCTACTTCTTGTGGTGTCACTTCATCCCTGAACGTTGGCCGTCAGCTTTTTGAATTGGTCATTGACTAATCTGGATTTGTTGCAGTACAATATCTTGCATATCGTATGAACTTAGCACATCTATTGCAGCTCAATTTATATCAATGTTATATAATGAAATAGATACGAAAAGAGTTGATTTTAGACTTAACAGCATAATATTTATGTAAATAATGGTATGTTTCGTAAAATACCGAATTATTTTTTCAGATTCACTTTCACGTGCCAAAATCGGAGACCTTATACAAGTACCTAAATAAAGAAGATTTGCCATCAGACTATGGTGGCTCTCGACCTTCCATGGAGGAACTGAATAAGAGAGTCGTAGATATTGTTATGGATAAAAGGTATTTTAATATATACTCTTTCATCATCCGTACTGCCTCGTTGGTCGAGTGGTCGCAACTCGCAAGTGCGATTGCCGGGCAAGGGGTCTCGGGTTCGATTCCCGGGTCGGGCAAAGTTATACTGGGTTTCTAAAAATCTCAGTAGGTCGGAGTCTGGTAATGTGCCCGGTATATGGCAATAGGCTCACCCCCTATTACATGGGACTCATAACATAAATAGTGAAAAGTGAGTGTTACATTGTACAGTGGCCTTAAGTGAGGAAATGTGCACCTCTGCCTACGCCTTCGGGGATAAAAAGGCGTGATGTTATGTTATGTTATCATCCGTAGTTCATTTCTGTACACTGCTAGACATGGGATTCTTTTCACTTCTTTGATTAAAGACGACTCACAGGAAACGATGTTTATAATATCATTTTTAGGAGGGCTTTTTTTTAATGGGACGAGCCCGCCACAACCTCCCAAAACCGCTGCAACTCCAGGCGTAAGTCAGAATCCACAGTAGACTCAACCATGAAAACACCGGAACACTGAACTGACTCCGGCGTTCCCTAGGGACATGAATTGTCTTGGATCCCGAAACGAAATAAATCAGTAGGTATAGAAGAGAAAAAAAGACCGATAGTTTTCACTGACGTCGGTAAATTTATGCAGGAGACATAATGACTTAAGCCTAAAGGCACAAAAGAGACTGCACGACTGGAAGAAGCCCAGGAAAACTTACAAGTGTGACTCATCTAGGAGAACCTAACGCGTTACCGGGGCTCCGGCTCGACGTGCAGGAGAAGGAACGGGGTGGTTTTTAGTCAGTAAGAGTCTGACACTCCCTCCCGCCTCACCCAGGCGGGAACAGTCATTCGATGATTTCCCTACTATAAAAGAAAAAAAAAGTGTTTCAGTTGTCCAAGGATGGCTCCGATCACTTACTTCGGATGATCTGTCTGCTCATCGCTCTATCCTATAAAAATGTCTGATACCGCCCGGCCAATTTTCTACTTATTTTCTTAAAGACCCTAAGCCTAGCCCTGCGGCTAATTTAACTTAGATCTCGCAAAAATTAATATTTTATTTTGTTCCAGGAAAATCTTCTTGGACGAGAACTTCTGGAAGACGGAGAAAAAGGGGAAGAAAATAAAAGAAATCTCTACTACGTTTAGATCTCTAGACATAGACTAATGAATAAATAGACCTGGCCACATGGTATACTTATAGAAGCAAGCTACTACAATGTGTGATAAGTTTAGCAATATAATTGTTATTAACGTGTCTATGTAAATAGAATATATGTATTTTTACAGCGATTAATCAGATTTGGGACTAATAAGTAATGTGCAGACAAGAGATTATGTCTGAAAAGGACAAAAAACAAAACTATATATAGATATGTCCTTCACCTTTTTTGAAGTCAGTAAAATTTTTCATACAGTATTCTGTAGAAGATTCACCGCCAATTTGGCTCAACAGCATCACGGAACACTTTTAGTCCCATTTTCTATATAATCTGATATAGTTTATATAATTGTAAGTCCATGTGGACTATTTTTCGTCTGCACAGATTTTAACGTTAAAAAAGGGAAACGTTTTTATAAAAAATCATATAAAAAATCTTGCTTTACGTCTACATGTTTTTTGAAGCTAGGGAAAGTAGATAACGCGATTTTCTTTTTTTGCTATGACGTTTAAATATCAGTTGATTACCAACAAGAATGTTAGATATTTGTTTGTTATTTCGATCGTAGCTTGATCAGAATTATTAAAAAAGAATATTAAAAAATTTCATACCAATAATTGTAAATACAGGTTTTTGTATAATTTTTTTTAAGAATTAAAATAGCTGGCTGTGTTATGTATTTGTATGCCTTATTGTTTGTGTAAAATGAGATGTTTCATACCGGTTAAGTTCGGGTTATTTTGACCCCGTGGGATAGCTTTGATCTAACAAATCCCTTTCTCAAAATTAACGCATAATTAGCTTAGCATATAAATATTATTATTATATTTTCATTGGTTTAAAAGTAATATAGGGTCAAAATTTATTATCCTTTACAGTCGAAGTAATCCGAAATAAAGGTCATCGAGATTTTATTTGAGTGTTTAATTATATTATATGTTTTTTAAGTATAAAATAAATTGCCTCGCAATTGCCAAGATCTTGCGATTTTATGGTGTGGTTTTATAGTTAAGTTTTTGAATGGTAGCCTTAATTATTTTATGAAATAAATACGCTGCGTCAAAGGGATGTGAGTAATTGGAGTTGTTGACAATTATTTCATGACAAAAACGTTAATAGGATGTAATCCTATGTTCAATGTTTTAGGCATATTCTGTCATATATGCATTTAAAAGAAAAAAGTACCTATAGAGGATCTATACTAATATTATAAAGCTGAAGTTTTTTTGTTTGTTTGTTTGAACTCTCTAATCTCCGAAACTACTGGTCCGATTTGAAATATTCTTTCTGTATTGGATAGCCCATTTATCGAAGAAGGCTATAGGTTATAACACTACGATTAATAGGCGCCGAGCAGAGCGAGTGAAACCGCGCGGAAGTAGCTAGTAATTAGATGAAAATACAAAGAATTTAGTAACGGTACGGTTTGAGTAGGCTTGGTGATGAAATATGTATTTTACTCTGCTGTACATAAAATATATGTGTAGGTACTGCCTTAGAATAAAATGAAACATTCCATTAATATTAGCAGTAAAACTAGAAATGTTAATTATTTTGTAAAAATGTTTAAAATTGTGTGTACGTGTTTATATTGATCCGATATTTTTAATGAAATACATTTTATGAATACTGTTAATTTTGTTGTTTGTTGTATTTTTGTTCTTTACTTTTTTTATACCATAAGCCGGTAAACGAGCAGATTGCTCACCTGATGGTAAGCAATCGGCGCCACCCATGGACATTCGAAACACTAAAGCGTTACAAGTGCGTTACCGGCTTTTTGGGGATTAGGAGTTTGAGGATCGTTGGGGATACAGGGATTGGGGAGATTAGAAATATGTACCTATACCTCTAATATTTCTCTGATACCTACCTTAGTTTACCCTCGCTTTATATTATATTTTATTCTTATTTTTGTAGTTTTTAGTTATGTTATGTGTGTTCTGCGTAAGAATAAATGGTTTTTCTCTCTTTTCTTCTTTCTAGGTATATTATTTTTGCTACATATTATATTTTTAATTTATATAACAATTTAGTGTCTATTTTTATACCGATACAAAAAAATTGGTCAACTACGGTAGGTACAAGGTAAACAAGTTATTTAAGTACTTTGCATACCTACAACTTTTCGTTTATTTTTAACTTAATTACGCCACAGGTCAAGTAATAGATTCTATAAAGCTTTGATTCTATTAACTTTGATTCTACTTAAAAATTAAAATATTTAAGTAACTCTATGAAAGTATCATCATCAACAGCTTATTAATGCCCACTGCTGAGCAAAGCCTCTTCTCACACGGAGAAGGTTAGAGCATTAATCACCACGCTTGCTCAATGCGGGTTGGCGATTTCAAACTTATAATTAGAAATTATAAGTCCAGGTTTCTTCACGATGTTTTTCCTTCACCGTTTGTAAGTGGTGTCTAAATAATCTTAGAAAGTACATATAACTCGAAAAAGTCACATTGGTACTTGCCGTTGCTAGGTTTCGAACCCGCACCATCATGCATGAGAAGTGGGCGTCTTAAACCTCCGGGCCATCACGACATATATTTCATACACTATGAAAGTATAAGACTGAAGAAAGTGTGGGAGAGCCATGCTTCGGCACAAATAGGCCGGCTTGACCGGAGTGATAGTTCGGCCTCTCAGAAAACCGATGTGAAACAACACTTGCGTTGTTTTTGGACGTGTGATTGACGTTACCGGAGGCCTGGAGCTACTTATAAGGTACTCTTTGAGTTCTGGCCTTAATTAATGGCATAATTAAGGCTGTTATTATCAGGCTTGTACCAAATGTTATGATTGTGGTATCTATTATTGCACCATTGAGGTTGTATAAATGAGATTGTAAAAAACATTTTTTAAAAGAGTAACGATGGAGTTTCTTGTTCGTTCTACTCCATTCGAAGCACTTTGGATGTGAAGCACAACGAGCATTCAGGTTCACTGACAGACGGACGGATTGATAATTCAATTTTTGAGGTACCATATCATAACACAACATCCCGCCTTGTTATCCCCGAAGGGGTAGGCAGAGGTGCACATTACGGCACTTAATGCCACTGTACAATGTAACACCCACTTTTCACTATTTTTGTTATGAGTCCCATGTAATAGGGGCCTATAGTGAGCCTATTGCCATGTACCGGGCACATTTCCAGACTACGTGCTACTACTGAGATTTTTAAAAACCCAGTAATACTTTGCCCGACCCGGGAATCGAACCCGAGACCCCTTGCCCGGCAGTCGCACTTGCGACCACTCGGCCAACGAGGCAGTCTAATTAAGGACTTAATGGAAATAAATGCTTTGAATTTTACTTTGACCAAGTGGATTAAAGATCACAAACTACAAAGGCCCTAAATCCATAAAAGCATCATGACAATAGTTACCAAACAATTTTGCAACAGAACCCATTCATAACAGGATTTATAGCCGACTAGCTTTACAACTACCATGATTTCCTTTATCTGAATATTCATATTCTTAAATGACTATATGAAGAAGATGAACCTATGTTTATTCGTAAGACATACATACTTAATTAATTAACATTTTTTGGCTTACTCAGAGTAGCAGCGCGACTCTGCGCGACAGTCGCCGCGTCGCATATGGCTGAATGCTGCTTATGGATATGAAGCAGAGGCTCATATTCTTTTATATTTCAAGCCATGCTAGAGTGCATGGCTTAAAACTAGCCGAGATCCTCGTCAAATAGATTCGTGAGTAAGCCGAAAACATAATAATTAATTTAAGATGTACCTAAGTGGTGGACTGTGGTTTCTGACACCCGGCAATTTTTTTAAGCACTACGTTGCTCTTTACTGCTGTTACCCCCTGTCGTATGCTAGCTAAGGAGGAGGCGGGACGCGTGAGGCAGCGAAGCGCTGCCTCCTCGCAACCCAGCCGTCGCGAAGGACACACCGGGCGTCGGGGATCGCGGGCGATCTCCGGCCACCGTAAGCGCGGGACTGCGGACGGCGAGCATGGGTGGCTCCCCGTCCGACCAGAAACAGACCCGAGCGTACGGCGCGTAGCGTTCCGCGCGCGCCTCAAAGAGCCATCAGACCACCACAGATGGGGCCCAATAGGGCCGATGCCGATTCGGAGTCGCGGAGAACCTAACGGGTAACCGGGGCTCCGGCTCGACGTGCAGGAGAAGGAACGGGGTGGTTTTTAGTCAGTAAGAGTCTGACACTCCCTTCCGCCTCACCCAGGCGGGAGCAGTCATTCGATGATATTAAAAAACCCCTGTCGTGGATAGATTTACAAACAAACAAGTTCACATGACACTGGTTAATCGCTTATGCATTAAATCGAATAATATTCATATCTATGCCAGTTGTGGCATTCAACAAGATTATAACAAATATTTAATAGTAATCCTAGGTAAAAACTAGAACTATTAAGCTACTTATCTATGTATAATAATTAATACACGTCTAGTTTTTATGTTTATTCATTTTTTGCATATTGTATAACCTACAATATATATATAATAGGAACTATTGCATACAAATACATTATAGTACAGTTCTGACTGACTGAGAAGAGAACGACTGAGAAGAACTTTATACACTTTCTTTTGTGACACAGGCCATTTTTTTTTCTTTTTTTAAAAAAACGTTGGGATTTTCTCCGGTGTCGTGGGTGCGTTTACAAACATACAAGTTCACATACACGTGACACCCAGACCCGGAACAACAATCTCGCTGGTGGATCACGCAAAGAGTTGTTCCGTGCGGGAATCGAACCCGCTAGAGGTTGGCTAGTAAGAATGCCCATGGCATTAAGCCCGCCTATGTACTCTTGTTGCATAAAGTTATCCTTACCTAAATTGTTTGTAAATAAATAAATAAAAATAAACCCGCGACACATTGCGCGGCAGTCAGTTGCCTAACCACCGCGCCAACCGTGCAGTCATTTGGGAGATTATTTACATATAGGTATTACAGACGAACGAGTCAAACCAATCAATAGATAGAGATATTTTATATTTTTT